AGACGACTCCGGCTTGCGCAGGGTCATTGCTGGCTGTTCTTTCCCTCTGTTCAAGCCGCTAAACTAGGCCGCGCCCCACGCATCGTGCCATGGTCTGCATTTCAGGGTTGCAGGAGGAGGGGGGAGGCGGGCTCGGTGATGGCGTGCATTTAGTTAGTGTTGCTTGGGTTCGCCCCAGGGGCCTGGACTGGGACGCCTTGGTGTGCACACAATTAGCAATAGTCCCAACCTTTGGCCGCCACAGCGTCATTTGATCGTTGCCTCTGCAATGTAATCATGGATGCATCCACATGGCATGGCATCATGACTGCCTCGCTGTTGCGAACTAACATGTCGCCGCTTGTGGCTTCTCAGACCATTTCCAGAGAGAAAGAGAGAGTGTGTGTATGTGCGTCGCGCGACTGGCGGACATGGGCGCACCTTTGCCTCGGCGTCACAAGCTATTGGGCCTTCGCGTTTCCCCGTTCGAGAGCTGAGCTGTCGGTAGGAGTGTCGACCGATTGCTGCGTTCACCCCCGTCGCTGCAGATCTCGACGCCTCGGATTCTCTTGCACTGTCTGTTCATCGGAGGGTTCATTGTGAGGGGTTTCGGGGGGGTGTGATAGTACGCTTGGCCGGTATGTACGCGGTTGCACTTGGACGGCGTGCGGGGTACATCTCTATCGCATTCGCATCGAGATATACTGGGTACGAGAATCCCGGATCTGTTGTGCATATTCGATTGGTATACTTTTCATTCAGCATTCAAGCAACTGTCTCCGCCGTCAAAAGTGACCCTCGCTTGAACTCTCCGCGGAGGTATCTGAATGTACTGCTGGTGGTGGCGGTGGTGGCCGGCCAGCTGTACCTGGAAGGAAAATGAGCTATTCACATTAGCAAAACAACAGACATGTAGTAGGAATTTGAAATCGATTGTGTGAGCATGGTGCGAAGGTCCATGCCAGAATGACGGTGGGCGTCACCATTACTAGCGGGCCGTGCGCTATTGCATCCTATATTAGTAGACATAAGAATGCCGTCCAAACCTGACTTACACCGCAACCTTAATCTGTTTCAAGGTGAAATGCAGGGACTTTTAGTGATTTCAAGGCATCCAGAAGCACATTTATAGTTTATGTCAATCAGAAAGTGTAAAATTACGAGCGCGAGTCCTAATTGAACAACACATCATGCATACACTAAGGCACTCATTTGACGAAGTTGTGCACTTGTCGATGCAAAAGGCCTTAGTCAAATGATAACAGTCGATTGGGTTTTACAATGCATCTTTTCGTGGTATGCGGGAATGTACATTGATCGAGCAATTCAACAGCTGTTCTGGCGGCCGTTAGTATGCGAGGATAGAGCGTTACCATAGAGCTGTACTGGCAACAAAGCACTCAACAACTCGGCTTGCTATGTGCGTATTGTCAGCGCACAATATATTCACTGCTGATAATCTATGCAAGGGCATGTTCCATGCCTCAAAATTTCTATACCACCCAGTACCATATTCCAATGTATATACAATGATGCGAATATCACTGAACATCAATATCCTTTCCTTTAAGAATCTCAAAAGTTATTTAAGTGAGAAAGCTTAATTCCTGCTCGTCATCCATGCAAATCTTGATCTCGATTTCATAATCACAACTTCTGTCTTCATCAACGTGTCTCAATTGCGACTCAAGTAATCGATAGCCCTTTGCCCCTTGAAGTTATCAGCATTTCGTATAGAATATTCAGTTTCCTTAAGCTCACTTTGAGGTTCGGTTGATGACTTTGGAACCGGCTGAGGTAGCTAAAGCCCACACTGCGCAGTCCCGATTTATCTCTTCTTGACCTCAGACATACTACAGACAGAAATATCAAGAGATAGCTTTCTCATTTCCTATTCTTTCTGAAAATGGGAAACTTCTTTGCTAGAATTATAATATAGACTGGAATCTGAATTTCCTTGATACAGAAGTGTGACCGCGGAGCAGTTGTGTTCTTCAGCCGCTCTAGAAACACCAAATGCGGGAACGATTTCGGATAATAAACTATGCATCTTACATTAGCCACCTCATGAAAAGCTACATGTCGTAGAATTTTTAACTTACACTAATGCAGGCCAACATATTTCCCCACATGAACGGAAGCTTTTGTAAGTAGTCAGAACTAAAGCCGTTCCCTCTTGCTCACCTATAGCGGTTCTGGGTTGCATAATGCAGTCAACTCTAAATAAAGTGCCACTAAGGCACTAATAAACTACTGCGCTTATTCTAGTAGTGATTATACAGCTTCAACAACGGTCCAAAGCCTATATCTGCTAGCATGTACAGGTATATCTACCCACTCCTTCCCACCCCTCCCACTGTATTCAAGAAACATTTGACAACCCAATGTCTCTCTGTAAGGTTTATTGAGAAACGCTTCCATCATTCTCCATCGTTCTGTCTGTATCAACAGAATCAAATGGCACATCGATGTCGTCAGTGCCGAACGAAAACGGCAATGCTAACGAGCTAGGCCGGCACGAAGCGTTCTGTCGTCGTGATTTACTATCCGAAATCCAATCACAGCAGTAATGAGCAACTATCAGTTACCCTCTTTCAGAATATTCCCCAACAGTGCTACTATTTGGGAGACAACGCAATGAGGACAAATCTATAAAAGCGGATACAAGTAGTTAGTGCCGCCTCCAAGCGCGCTAAGCTCCTTACACTCGAAGACTAGTACTGATATGTCTTTTCTTACATGCAGAAGTACTACAGGTACCGATATGAGGATGAAAAAAAAGAAGCTTTTAGGGGAGAAAGACATATTGCAGATGTGAAAGACGACTTTAAACGGCATATACAAACAGCATACAGTGCAGCCGACTTTATTACCTTCCTCGAGAACCCACGCGCTCCAGAAGCTCTCAAAAAACGAGGAACAACTCACAATCTTTCCACACTCATAGTCTTTTCCCTTAATCTTGGCGCTTATACACAACATTTCTAATCAAGACTCTAGACCTCACTCAACAACGTAAAGACACGAGAAACAAGACATAAGCCGAGGCATCTTTCCCCCGGATCCATCTAGACCATGCATCTCGCCTCATCTTTCCTTCTCCTTCTTGCCCCCCAAAACAGGCCGGATAAACCGGGAATCAAGACCGGAACCAGGCCCAACCACTAGTCTACAACTACCAAAATGCAGAGCAGAAAGCACACACCCTCCAGCTATGCAAAAAGGCACCACCCAGCAGACATCTCACACCATCGCATCTCCTGAGCGCGCGACAATTCCGCCCGTTCCCCGAACCACCCCCCGGACCCACTTCCCAATACATTCTACCACATATGTACTTGACTATGCACAGTAATGATGGCGCCAACGTCCCAGATACGCGGTGAAGCTCACGCATCTAGACCACCACGTCCTTGTCAACCGTGGTTTTGCGCATTGGTCGCCACGTCATGCTACATGTGTTTATGTGTACACGGGCAGGCGACAAAAGAAGTAGCTTATCATGGAACATGTAGTACGGCCCGAAGTATATTCGTCATAACAAGCATCGGTATAGTAGGACAAAAAGGTTGTATCATGTGGATACGTGTGGATACGTGCGGATACATATACGGCTTCATGTGTGGCTGTGGGCCGGCAAGTATGGGTTACAGGCGTCATGTCTACCGACGTTTTACTAATGGATAGGCAAGGCGAACCGTGGTTTGGTGGAGCTACATTGAGGCTCTAGATTTTTTTTGCTTCTTCTTGATGGCTGGTTCGCTCGGTGTTTGCGGGTGTGGCTGCCGTTTTTTTCCTTTTTTTGTTTCGTGTTCTCTCTTGGCTTCTCTTCTACTTGCAGGCTTACCAGTGGTTGTGTCAGATTGATACTAGCGAAAGGGAGGGGGAGGGGGGTTATGTGCCTGGTTATGCATTCCATGTAAGCAAAAAGTGGGCCAGCGATATACAAGTCTGTTTTTCAATAGGGGATGGCAAACGACATAACACCAGCTTACGATCACGCTAATATCTCGACACCGTTTCTTACGCCTAGAACGCACTCAAATTTCGTAACGTAAAACCACCTCATCAATTGCGCCCTCTAATAGATTAATAGCACAAATAAGTTATACCAAGTAAGACCGTGAAAGCGTCATGCTCACATGACATTACAAACATGTGAATGATACCCAAGGGGAGGGGAAGGGTTGGATGAGCGTTTCCCCGCGCACCCAAGTCTAGCATCATGAACTCCAACCACACCATGACATTGTAACATCACCATATGAAAGCAACAAAAATTAAATCATAAGATCTTAACTTTGAACGATCAGCCCTACGCATTGCGCAAACATAAATGAACTTGCCCCCTCCCCCCCCTCCCTCTCGTCCGCTCATGCATCTTACACCCCCCCCCCATCCCGATCGGCCCTTTTTTCTTTCTTCCGTCGCTCACCCACAAATACCGCCGACCGACCCTCCGAACAGACCGCCCGGCAGGCTTGGTACCGCGTACCCCCCTTGTTGCCGCTTGCTCATGGAGACACGGAAAGGGTGGAGTAAAGTACCTTGATGGGATGCTAAGACGGTGTATGTGCGCGCCCGTTGCTTGGGGTTGCAAATGGAATGGTGACGTATCGGGAGGGGTGGTCAGCAGCAAGGTATCGGGCGTCGGTTGTGTGTGCGTGTGTGTGTGTGTTGGCCTTCGTATTCAGCCTTATGGGGCGCGAGATTGCATTGCGGTTGTTTTTGCGAGGGATGTGCCGTGGGAGCCGTGCGGCGTGGGCGGTGCGCAGGGATTGTGTGGTGACGATGGGCGAGTAGGGGGTTATGGCAATGGGTGATGATGATGATGATGATGAGGTGAGAGGTGAGATTTCTTAGTCGTGGTATGAAGTCATGTTGTATGTGCGTGTGGTGGGATTGAGGGGTGAAAGAGAAAAAGGGAGAAGAGTGGGTGTGGAGTGGTAAGATGCAAAAAAAACATGATTGATAGTTATATCTGAGGTTTTTTTTATGCGCGATTTCGCTTGTAGGGTTTGCTTGCTATTCTAGAAAAGAAGACAAAAGAAAAAAACATCCCGCCATGGGGGGTAATGGTTGAAAAGATTAAGGTAGATGCCATCAGATTGGGTGATAATTGTACAAGGGTATGTTGGTGATGGTAGATGAAGAAGCGAAAATGCTATACAGACACATATGCCTGATGAGACAGACCCCCCATAGGGGAATAAAAGAAATTACAGAGCATAGAGCCAGACGCTATTACCAGAAAACCAGCCATTTTTTGAATGGGTTGAGAAAAAAACCAAAGTCAATTTGTATAGCAAAAACACCTCGAGTGCCCTTAACAGCATAGAGTAAGGCCCAATTTTAAATAGTTCAAAAAAAAAACCCCCCCCAATAACCGTACGTGGAACCAAAGGATATATGCATACCGTCGATAAGAAAAATGTCACTGCGTAGTGCCAACCAAAGTCCAAGAATGCTCGAGTAGGAATAGTTATCGCCTTCGCCAAGGGAAGAAGCGCCAAGGGGTATCGCATCCAAATCATCCACCATGAATGTCTCGTGTATGCTTGGTAATATCGTAGGAGAGTGTAGCAAATTGGGAAAAGGTCACCTCAGGGGGGGCGCGGTCTGAATCGCCTCCAAGATGGGTGTTGGGAGATTGGGTTTAGTAGCCAGGGTGCGCGCTCGTATTGTACTTTTCCTCGGGAACATACTTTTCGTCCGTGACGTAGTAGGAGTGAGGGTGAGGAGCCGAGGGGTACTGCGTTTGGGGCAGCGGCTGGAGAGCAATGGGAGCCGAGGACCTTCTACCTTGACTCGCCTGGGAAACTGGAATCTGGCTTGGTTGTTGCGATGCCGGGGAGCTCTGGGCAGTAATGGCTTGGGGTTCAAAAGTGCCGGCCTGGGCCATGGGGTATGAGGTCGGCTGTGGGGCTTGATATTGCGAAGTGGGTCCATGGTGAGAGTAGGAGGTGGATGGTGCGGCTGATGGGTGATCATACGAGTAGTGACGAGTAGACTGCGAGGGATAGTGCGACGAAGGAGCCGGGTGGGGTGATGAGAATTGTTGAGGAGATGGAGGATGGGCGGCATAGTGCTGCTGACCTGTGTATGTTTGAGGCGAGGACTGCTGGACTGGGTACTGATGAGCAGACTGCGAGGCACCATAGTGTTGTGGGCTGTTGTGAGTAGATGTGTATTGGGATCCGTGCCAGTATTCAGGAACGCTCAGGTGGAGGGGGGCGGCATGTGTTTGCATCACTCCCTGAGCTCCAAGTGCCTGTGTTACCGCTCCGAGCACATGGTGTTGAACATGGCTCGGCTGGATGTGGTGTGGGTAACCGGTAATGAGGGGCATGTCCTTGCTTTCCTCATCTTCAAGACTGACCTTCCATCCACTGAGGAGTTCAGGCCTAGGTTGGATATCGGCTAGCTTGGGGTCCTGGAACGGTCGCTTGAGCTTGCCACTAACAACGTCCTCAAGACTGTAGTAGGAAATGACGTGGTGGTGGGTGCCTTGGTACTTGACTGAAATGGTCTTCTTCATCAAGCCACCCTCCTTGAACTCGTAGCTGTCGATGAGGGAGCCACAGAATCGCCGTTGCTGGTCGGGTGTTAGGCTCTGGGCAAAGTTTGCGTAGACCTTGTTCATCGGGTCGGCATCGCCAGCGAGGGAAGGGTCAAAGGATTGGTTCTCATATTCGTCCTCGGAGTTTTCGAGCATCTCGCCAGTCTTTGACCGCACAGGACCGCTGCTTTCCTTTCGCTTCCTTTTTGAGCCACACGAGGGGTTCAGCGCGGACTTCTTCTCCTCGGGCTTGAGTGCTCGTACAAGTTGGCGGTAGATGAGGCAGTTGTTCATAACGCGGCTGGGTGACCAGTGAACAGCATCGGTCCAGCGCTTGATTCCAGATGCATTCTCCTCGTAGACCAAGACCGTTCCCGAAGTGAGCATCTCGGCGCGCTCCTTGTCATGGGGCCGGCGGCTGATGTGGCTAAGGCGGCCCTGAAGTGCGGCCTCGACTACAGTCATGGCATCTTTGGTGGTATCAAGGAAGCCGTGCCATGTGGGTTTGAAGGCGGGTTGAGCTTTGACCATACTACCTGCGACCTGAGGCCTGGGGGGAGGTGGTGTGCTCGCTGCGGTTGAAACCACACGAGATGAAGCAATCGACTGGTGGCGTGGGGGTTGACGCGCTGTCTGTTGCATCTGAGGTGTGAAGCCCGTGTACATTGAGGACTCGAACATGCTTGGGTATGGGGTTTGGTTGGTGGTTGGTTGTTGGGGCCAAGACCAGGAGTCGGCATCGTTGTATCCATCCACCTTTGGCACGCCGCCGAGGGACATGTCATGTCCGAACGAAGGCATCGTCAAAGTGGATGCCCGGATACCCTGCAACATGGGGAAAGTCGGGGTTTTTGTTTATTTGTGGTAATGAGCAAAAAGTTGTTTGTGATTTGGGAGACGAATGATCCAGATGGGTTGAAGATACGGTGTAGGCGTGTGTATAGTGACCGAAATCACATGAGAATCTTCAATCGGAAGGTAAATGTCTCCAAAAAAACAAAAATCCTGGGCAACTGGGTAGAGCCTGGAAAGGAAGCTCTATTTGGGTCAGCATTGGAAAATCCAGGTCAAGTCGTTCTCCAAAAAAAAAGGCCATACTCACGTGTGATGGAAACGGGGCAAGGGAAAACGAAAGAGGGGATCAAGATCGCACAGCGCAAAAAGAGGGCGAAGCGTGTGTGTTTGCAAGAGGAACGGTTGGAGAGGGCAAGTGCGTAGGTGCGTCTATTGCCCGAGTTGAGGGTGGGATGATGTGGCTTGGATGGGTGGGTCGGTGGGGGGGAAATGGGTTGAGGATGTTGGTGATTTGGTGGTGGTGGTGGTGGTGGTGGTGGTGGTGGTGGTTGGTCGTTGCGATTTGCAAGAAGCAGCAAGTAGGGAAACAGGATGAATGGCCAGGAATTTGTTTGGATAGATCTCGAGGCCACAGGGTGGTAGATGTAGAGGTGTGAGGCGCACGTCTAAGCGTAGCAAGAAAAAAATGGCAAACACCGATATGGGTATATAGGTCGGCGGCGAGAGGAGGTACCAGTAGGTGGTCCAGGGAACCAGTCGATGTATATTTGGGGGTTATATTGATGCGTCGGCGAATTGCGAAGCTACTAGTATGATCAGGGTTGGCAGGGCCCCAGGACGATAATAGGGAGAAGAGGGAATAGCAGCAACGGCGGAATCAGCCAGCGGACCAGGACATGGCTCCTAACGAGAAGGACGCTATCTCACTCATGACAGCCGGGATGGAGGCGGTCGGAGACAAATGGCTCGCCCTGGCAATGACTCTAAGTGCATGGGGCAAGTCAAGCGTGAGGGCATATGCACGACTGGGACGGGGCAAGCACAAAGGGCACTACGTGACAACGTGCCCGCTTGGGGGAGGAAATGGCATGTACCCGGCAGCCATGAGACGCATACGACAGGACTGGTCGCTTGGAGGAGGGAGGGGAGGGGGGAGGGGGTAGGTTAGCCCGGTTGGGGTGGCCGACAGTTGATGGGCACAGTAGCGCAGCGATCGCCCCTGCTGAGGATGCAGCTAGTCCCTGGACGGACAGACTCGACCTGAGGCAGCCCTGCTGGGGTGGGCTGTTCTGGGGCGGCCGCCAGTTTGCGGTTCTGGCCCATGAGGCGATCAACAGGCAGCACGACGACTAGGACGAGTGTAGCCGTCGTCGTCGCAGCAGCACACCAGCAGTACTCTAGGAACAGGCCGGATGCACCGTCGTCGAGGCCACGGCGGCGCGCCCACCGCCTGTTGATGGACCTAGCAGAGCCCACGGGCGCCCACTGCCCCATCCATGGGCGATGCTAGGCTAGCGTGCCATGACTCCGCAGCTGCCGGGCCTGGCGTTAGGGCAGCGTAAGCTTCACGTTCCTGGACGGCGGCCGCTGGTGAGGCAGGACGCGAAACTTTGGCCATGCGGCAGCGCTGAGGCCCTGGTGGGCTCGCAGAAACGGCCGTCGGAGAAGAAAACAGACATGGGCGCGGGTGAGGATGAGAAGGGGGGACGAGGGGAGGGGAGACGTCGGCCGGCGTACAACAAGGGCCGACGTCGGGTCAAGGGCGCCAGAGGGGCAGCAAGCGACAGCACACGCGCGTGAGAGAGAGAGGCACAGCGAGGGGAGACGGCCAAGATTGCGCTCGAGGGTGAATGAGAGAGAGAGAGAGAGCAGGATGCAGGCGGAACAGCGAGGCCAGGGCTGGCAGGCGTGGCCTCAGGGCGGCGCAGACATTGGCACAGGTTGGGCTGAAGCTCGCGGATCCGGGACGGTGCGCTACCATGTTTCACACAGTTGCGCGTGGTTGGCGGGGCTGGCTGGCTGGGGGGGGTGGTGGTGGTGGATGGGGGGAGAGTGGGATGTGGATAGCAGACCAGTAGCAATGGCAGGAGGAGAGAGAGAGAGTAGTAGCAGTAGCAGTAGCAGTAGCCGTAGCCGTCGGCGCACAGCAGAGCGACGGGCTCGTCCAGGAGGGCGGGAGTGGGCGTGGTCGTGGTGTCGGTGTGCTCTCTCTCAGGCTGGCGGTTGGGCTGGAGGCGGCACCAGGCTGGCCGGCGGTGCACCGGGCTGGTGGGAGGCGTGAAGCTTGGACTGGCGGCGCATCACCCGCAGCGATGACGAGGGGCGTGAGGGTGAGGTTGGGATTGGCATGAAGGATGTGCACGCTTTGGGCGGGCGGGTCAAGTGACGTCCACATGCGGCCTAGCGTGCATGGACAGGGCATCCTGGAGTGAATCATGCACATGCATCACACGCCCGTTTAAGCACAAGCAGCCCGTCGACTGCCCAGCCAGCGCGCCCTCTGCGAACTTGGTGATCGCCGTCTGTGCACGGGATTTGCAGCTGGGCCTTTTGCGCGACCCTGGAAACATGTGTTGCCATGGCGGTGTGGGGAAGAGGGCAGCGTGGGAAGAGCATTGGCAGTGCCATGGCCATTGGCACTGGCACTGGCACGGTACGGACATGTGCGCATGCTGCCCTACTGTCTGCTGTGTCTAGTACATGTGCGTACACGTGTAGGTCCGTACGTACACGTGTATCTTGAGCCTCTCCATGCATGGTACATACATTCACATGTATACATGCTGTAGCACACACTCTCATCCATGCACATACGTATGTACATACGTATGTACCGCGCCTGATGCGACCTACAAGTACTACTTTTGCAACCACTGCTACGTCAAGCCACCCACAGCAAGCGGGGCTGGGCGATGACGGCACTGTGGCTGATTCATGTCCATGGCCCATCATTTTGATGCTGTTGCTGCTGATGATGATGAGCATGATGCTGCTGCAAAAGACGCACAACTAGCGCGCACACAAACAGCGACAAAACATTACTCTGTTTTCCATCCACACAGGAACACCATCCCTGTCCACCTTGTCTCTGTCCCCAGTCGTGCACTCGCCATCTTGATCCTCGAGCTGAACTGGCGAGGGCGAAGCTGCCTGTCATGGCTGCCACGGCTGGCCTCGACCCCGACCTCGACCTCGACCTCGACCTCGACCTCATCCCACATCCCACCCTGTGTCAGTAGTCAGGAACGCAATCCTCTCAGCGCCGCCTTGGCCTCCTTTGCACGCCACGAGTCGCGTCTCGCACTTCGCCTTTCCACGCGCTGACAGGCACCACACACGCACACGACGCCTCATTGCCACTCGCTCGGCTCCACTGGCAAATTCTCTCTCTGTTTCACCCTTTCCTACACCACACTAGTTGGCTAGTGGGCTGTGCTCTGTACGACACACCCTTCTCTACTACCACTACCACCACTACCCTCACTACCCTCTCTGCATGCAATCTCCAGTTCGTCGCCAAAGACGCGCGCCAAATGCAACACGCGCCCGCCCTCGTGCGACACGGCTGCAAGCCAGGATCAACGCTGCTCTTACAAGCTCTTAACAGAAGCAATTATACCCTTTTGGCGATATAATACATACTGCTCTATACACCAGCCGTGAACATGCTCGACTTACCCGCACGTTCACTTTCCATCGTTGATCACACAGTCCGCCCGCGACTCTTGGGGCGCGAACAGACGGGGACGGGGGCCACTCTGTTCCCCTTAGCTACTCCTTGCATCGTTCGTGTTTCAACATGTCACATCGCACTTTGCCGCCACTCAGAAGCCCCATCGACTCCATTCTCTAGCCCCTCCTTCCACAACCCATCCACCCCGAGACCCTCCACGACGCCTATCACGCTGCCTTTTCGCTGCCATGACCAGATGTTCTGCTACCGTCTCGCTTGCCCCGGATTGCTACTGACAGAAGGCTCGCAATCTGACTTTGACTTGCCCCCCAAACCCACACTCGGCTGCGATCAGCATCTGAACTTCTCAACTGCCAACCCACCCACCCCCGTACACGCTAACAAGACAGCAGTAGTATTAGTTGGCTTGTCACGCGCCATACCCCATTCGGTCGCACCCATGGTACTCTACCTACGTACACATGCTGCTATGACGCTACTATGCAACATGTTGCACAACTTTGGCCCGACTACTCCATGCCAACACGCTCGCCCGTCCGCACGCACACAGACACACCGCGTTCTCACAGTCGCCCTCCATCTCTGTCCAGCTGTCAATCTACACTCCTGCAGCGCAATTGCTTCACCGCTGCTCAAGACTAAGCCCCTACCCTCCACCCCAAGAGTCTGGTACATGCAACTGCGCTTGTGCCTCTCCATGCCTAGCGTCAGCTTCCCCCTTTATGCTCGTATTCGCTCCATCTTCCCTCCAACATTCACAAAATCGGCTCATGTCGTCGTGCTACCACTCTCGGTTGAGCCTTTTTCCGTTGCCAGTCTTACCGAGCAGTCATCCCCGGGCCTGTTCTATTGAATGATAGCGCGCGCTGCTTGGCGCCACACGCGCCTTGATTCGTCCGTACCAGATCCCCCCCCTTGCGTTGAAACCAATCTTTGTAAATCGGCACTCTCCTTTGGACCAAGCACATGATGGGTCATGATCGACATTGGCCGTAAAAGGTCCCTGGACGATCACGGAGATCCGGCTCCTACCACGCATCATTTTCTCCTAGGCTTACACTAACCCACCCTCACACATTGAATACGCTGAGTACCTCGCCAGGGCTCACAGAAACTCGTTCTCTTGGTCCGGCCCCATCTCGGCCACTCTCTCATTCGTTCGTCGTCCGTAGAGGATCCGGCCCGCCCACCTGTAGTTCACAACCCAAGTGCGGGATCCGCGTCTAGAGTCCTACCCACCTCCAGATAACCTGCACTTTCCAATTCTCCAGAGTTTCGATTTCACCACAAATACGGCCCCCCTTGGGGCTATTTTCGCCCTGCGTAAAGGAAATGTCAACCTCCCCTGCCCGTCAAACTTTGGATATTAGTAGGGTGACGGAAGCGGCGAGACACGTCTTCTAGAAAGTCATTGCAACCTCTTTTGGCGCTTCTTCTCTTCACGCCATCATTGCCAACTGCGATGGTTTCAACCTCCCGACGTTATCCTGCCTTACGCCGTTGACCCTGATGGCCCCGTTTCCTGTCTAGAGTTAGGCCAATTCTCGGTTCGAATCCGAATATTCACGGAAAACCTTTTTCGCTCCGCCAACGGCGCCGCAGCGTCCTTCGCTCCCGGACCCAGGCACGCACAGTCTGCAAGTCCCTGAACTCTATTTCCCACCTGCCATGGACGCGTTCATGGACCTTACTGTCCGTCTAGTGCCCCCCAATAGATTGTCTAGAAACGCCATGGATTCTCCAGCAAACCGCCACCGTGCATCCGTAAATATCTCGTCGATCCGGACCAACGCCCGTGGCTTGCCCACCTCCATTGCGAAGTAGATTAGTTTCGCGACACCAACAAGCAAGAGATACTGCATCCGCAAACCTTATGACTCGTGCAGACGACTAGCAAAAGACCCTTTGCGGGGCCTCCGACTCCACCATGATATCCCCAAACAATCTGTCACCTTGGTCAGCTTGTAACAATCAGCCTACTTTGCCCACTTCTGCACACTCAACAGTTTCACTAGCCGGCTCTCGTAGAATGTCTTGCTCGGCCTCCCGCCCTCCGCTGACCCTTACGTATGACATGCGTCGGTATCAACTCCGCAATCTTTAATCGCTCCTACTTCCTCAAAATCTCTCCATGACAGGCAATGGGAGCGAGCTGCCACCAGGTTGCGCCAGCTGTGTTTCAGGTCACCCAAACCCTAGCCATTGCGCGCATTCCGAAGACCTGTCATATCTCTCTCTCTCTCTCTCTCTCTCTCTCTCTCTTTCTCTCTTTCTCATTCTCTTTTTCTCAACTCTGCTTCTTGGCCTTTGAGATTGAGCTTGGTGCGCAATGTCGTACGGAATGACGTGCGCTAGACATGGCCGTGGTGCAAACCTTGCTTCCCATAGTATGCAGGATTTGCGACTCCAATAGAAGCCGTCGGAGCTTCCTCGTCAACGTGGCAATCTCCAAAAGTAGACCTGTCTACCAAATTCGCATACAGAGTACAGATTGCACAATGGGCCAGGTACGGATCACTGTACTCCATGTGCCATACATAGGACATGTGACCGTGTCGGCATATTTACTCTTTTGGCCGCATCGCTTCGGGCATTACTGCATCGCCTGTTCGTCCAAAAGTGCGTAACACATGCATAGAATAGACCGAATTCTGTCGAGCGGAATCCGTCACACCGAGCCCGCTTGTCCCAGACGCTCGTCCATGTTGCAATCGGCAAGCACCAATCTCGTTTCAGAGAGCGAAATCTCTCCGTATCTGCAAGTTGCTGCATTCATGTGTCTAGAAGCTCATGCCATAGGGCTGTCGGTAAAAGAATCCGACACAATCACACATGGACGGAACTGCCCGTTCCAGGGTTCAACTTTACATACATACAGCCAGTTTCATGGAGATCACCCACGGATAGACTCTTGGGCCCAGTCTCTCGCTCAAAGGTGGCAATTCACGTCCCTGTTTCTCTGGTCGTAATCGTCGCTCGCCACGTGGTTTTAACATTTCGCAAGCTTCTAGTCGAGACCATGATATGCTACAAAGTAAATGACGATCGATCGTGCTCGGTCTCTGATCCCTTCCCCCACTAGCTTCTGGGCGGCAAAGTCTATTGTGCTGACAGGATGGAAACGGAGGGCAGGCCGTAGCCGCTTCACGTCCCACACCGAGCAGCATGTCAGAGAGGACGTGCGTACGGGCAGTAGTGCTGCAAGCCCGTTGCACATATTGAACGGAAAGGACCACCCTGCCACCCTCTTGGGCGCAGCGTCTGCGAGTGTGCTCACCTGCATTCCCGTCGTGTTGGCACGCCATGCCGACTTTTTTTTGGAGTTTTCATTACCAGATGCTTTCGCTCCTTGATACACTTGGACACGGCTTGGTGATGCTGGTTTATCTAAACTTTGGCCCCCGTCATGTATGTGAAGTGCATGACCCGACAGTGTTACGGTGCGGACCGTTGCTCACGACAGATGACCCGAAGAGCGGTAAATGGTCAGACTCTGGCAAATACGAGGGCTACGGTTGTCGATATGACTGGGGAAGGAGATGGATGGGGGAACGGGTTTTAGGTGTCGGAACACCAGATTGAGACTCCTGATCACGATGATGGTCATAAGATTGTGCTGGTGACGAAGACGGTTATGATGATGCCATACTAACGGTGCCATATCACCGACGCCATGCCAATACTGCCAATACCAACGATGCAAATGCAAATACTAGCAACAATTACAGTTGACAAATAATAGTACCCACAATCACCTCATACGCTCTACCTACCGCCGTTTCACTCATCGCCGATGAACATTTCGGCCTGTATTCCGGGGCTAAAGCTGTGCATGTTTCGAAACTCTGCTTGTCCCAGCCTGTAGGGTCCCAGAAGTTTGTTTCCTTATTCTCCGTTCTAAGCAGTTCGGCTCATTTGGTAGTTTTCTTTTCCCTTCTCCCATCTCTTTTCCAGATAGATGAACAGTTCATATAAGTGCATGTCATCTTGTCTCCACTGTAATCACTTTTGCAACGGTGAAAGTGGATGATCAAACAAGACCCTGAGTCCCGGAGTGACGGCAAGGAAACGGAGTGGTTGTGGTGTGATCTTTGGATGCATTATTTTGTGCTTGGTGACTTGTGTAGCTATCCCATATTCCATATTCTACATTTTTTTCCTTTTCATCAAGACTGCCCATTTGTGAAGCCTACTGAAAAAAAAACCACACTCCTATCATTATCAAACTCATCACCAACCCACGTCCGCATAAAACAACCACCAAAGCTCCCACGAACGCCCCNCTAACAAGCCCAGACCTGCCATCTGACCGCATAACCCACGCACCCCTTCCATCTATCCTTCCATACATACGAACCCGACACAGCACGACCCAGCCACCCCTCACCACACCCTGGGCATAACTTCGTCTGACTCCTCCCCTCCCTGATCCCAAAAAACACGGGGCGCGGAGGAAAGAGAGAACGACTCTGTGTAAACGGTATCTCCCGTATCACTACATAGCAGGGGGGAGGGGGAGGGCACGAGCGCAAAACAAGGTCGAGTATCCACACTATGTGCATGCGTATATGTGGATCGCGATGAGAGGGGGAAGGAAGGGAAGGGTGGCTTAGGGCTGACGTGAAGGAGGAGAAGAGAAGGGGGGTTGTGTTTTATGTTCGAGTTTTATAATGCATATGTATAGAATACTTTCTGTTCCGATCTTCTTGACTTGAGTGAATCGTCGATCTTGTATCTCACGTTTGCGGTTTGGTGAATGTCAAAACTTGGTTATTTTTTTTCTCTTTTTCGGGCTTTTATTGATCATGGCGGGGGGGGGGGGACTTTTGGGTACGGAGAGAAAAGCGGGGGAGTGAAATGAATGTAGTGTTGTACTAATTCTTTTTTTTTTTCGAAAACACTGCTCAAGTTTCTCAGAGGTTCGAGTAAATATTAAACCCATCTAAACAAACAAACAAAAAATTATTCACGAGACAAAACCACACATACACTCACTTCGCACACAAACCGTCCTCCCTCCATCCTCCACTATACCCCTTTCTCACCAAAAAAAAAGGATCATCGCAGCCTTCTATATCCAACCACACACACACCCACGACCCAGTACTTCTTAATCCATCCCCCCACCCCTCTCACAAAGCCCCCGCCACAACCTCACCTCAACTCACCTACAACCTACGCAGTGCAGGGTAAACGATAAAGGAAAAAAAACCCCCCCAAGTGGGTCCCCCCTCAAACCCTCACCAAAAAAAGTATCAATTCACGGCAGTTAGATACACACTTCTCTTTTTCCCTCCCGAACCGATATACGCCTTTTGCACATACACACACACACACATACACGCACTCATACGCCTCCCCCCTCCAAAAAAACACCCCTGTAGCCGTTTGAAACGGACAAGCAGGCCCGGAGTGGTTCCGGGGTTTGGGAGAGGTATGTGGGTGTGTCGGGCGGTAGCGAAGTGGGGGAGGGGTTGGTGTTTTTAGTTGCATGTGAGCGACGAAGAAGCCCGAGCCGAAATCCTTGTTTTCTGTTCTCTTTTGTGTGTGGTTTTTGCGAGGCAAGGGGGATAGGAAGGGAAGGGGTTGCGCTAGGGGAGAGGGTGGTGTCGGATTCATTGGCCCGTTGGGGTGACTAGGAGAGAACGGGTGGCTGGAGATGTCGGGGTGGGGTGTGTGGATTTTGCATGGATGTGTGTTGGGGGGTTTTTTTGGGGCGGGGAGGGGAGGGGAGGATAGGGACTAGGCAGGGGGGGGGAGAGAGGAATGGGATTGGGTGGGTTGGTTTTACTGCTACTGCTGCTACTACTGCGGTGTATGGATAGAGGAGTGGATATATGCAGTGGACATGATAGGGATGGGCTTGCACATGTAGGTGTGAGGTGTACACCGACTTCTCTTGTTCTCTCTGGCTGGCTGATTATTTTTTTCTTTAACCAAGAACAAGAAGGACGATGAGGGGCGGGGGGGGGAGATGCAGGCTCCTAGTTCGATCTGATTCCGAGTCTCTCAACGTAGAACCACTTTCTTACATTCTAGTTTGTGATGAGAAGGAAAATAACAGCTCACTTCTCATACGTTCTGTTGATCTGCCCTACCCGACATGACCCCTTCCCTTCCGCTCCTTCTACCCTTTTCTACCCCGACTTCTCATATCTTTCCTGTTTCGCCGTGGAGACACGCACTCCGCTCTTAACTCGGCCCTTTCAAAAGAGACTACAAGGATCTCTCGCCCATAGCCACCAAAAGGAAATCGCGGGATAACAGGCACCCATTGAACAAACGACTGACAGAAAACAGTCTAGCAAGTAAGCAAGGATACGGGGGAGTTAGGAGGGTGGGGACGTCAGCCGGCTCAGCCTGAAAAAAGTGGGGACAGTGGTTAGGTAAAGTACTAGTGTGTATGGTTGTGGACGTCCCAATGATATTGATTACATTATTCACAAACGGGCAGGGTAGGGAACGGTTAGGGCACAAAGGACGGACGGGAGAAGGGGAAGGGTGAGATGAGATGAGATGAGATGGCAAATTTGACAAGCCAACCGTCAGCCAAAAGAATAACAATATGACATGTGAGATTTGGCTGTCACAGAATATCCTACTATGCGTTTCGCGAGCTGACTTTTTCCACCCACTTTTTTTTCTCACCCTTTGTATCTTCTTGCATTATTTCTATTATCTTTGCCCCGTCATGCCGTGTTGCCAAGAATGATATGGGACAATAATATTTCTGCCTTGGGGGGGAGCTTAGCCTCGCCCTATCGGTAGCAGTCGGTGGTTCTTTTCGGGCCCGTCCAAAGCTGACATAACAATGTACGTGAGTTACGTACGTAGTTACCTCCATACCATAAATCGGTGGCTCCGACACGACATACATACATGGACTATAGAGCATCACGCGTGGACCGGAAGTTCCCCAGGGGGCGGGATTGCCAAACCAGGGGAGGGGGGTGGGGTGAGGCATGCGGCATTGGGCATGGGAAGGGGGGGAGGGAGGAGGGGGGGAAAGGTGGTCGGGTTGGCGCATGGCATCGTACAGGGATGGTGCTGGAACGCGCGCGTTGTGCTGACTGTGACGGTCGATTTGGAGCGATTTGATTCGCAAATGCGCTGGGGGGGGGGACGTGTTGATATAAAAGCGGCAGATGAAGACTTGTGCGTGTCAAAGAGGCGGATGTGAGTTCGCCTGCTTCGTCAAGTGCTTATCGGTGCTTGGTTCTGTGATTTCTTGTGTCCGTCGGGGCTGTAAGACGGGTCAACGTGGCTGTCAGACGGGCCAACGTGGTTGACGGACGCTAACCGAGACGCAATCGGGAAGGTTTTTGCTTCGTTCTTGCATCTCCCCGGCTTGGGTCACTGTCGGAGAGATGGACTGCATGGGAAGATGGGCCGGCTTACGGCCACGTCAAGTGTTACATCTATATTCTGTTCTTTTAAGCGCGGATTCAACGGTCCTTGGGGAGGGCAAAATGGCGGTGTGAGGGATAGAGGAATCAACAGGAGTGAGGCTGTTCGTCTTGCGTGGCAGAGAGGCGGAGCGACGGATAAAGCTTGGCGATGGGTCTTGCGATCCACGATGTTCGTTGTTCGATAATACTTAGTACTACCTTCGACGTGCTTTGATTAGCATGCGGCTAGTAGAGATCGGGAGAACCGTCCCCGACGACGATCCTCCGTTGTAGGCTAAGTAGGATAAATGTACCGTAAGCTAGGAGAACCCTTGTACATTCTGCATGATAAATTAACGGTATATAATACTTACGGAACGGTATCGGTTGCATCCGAATCAAGCAGGCTTGTCCCGTATCAAGTATAGGGACCGAATATTACAAGCCTTCGCTCGCATATCTACGATCACCCTCCCGTCTTACCCTTGACACGGTGACCTTGGCTGCATCGATCACTAGTTTACATGTATCATACGCGAGCTGACAAAGTCATCCGTACAGATAAGGATACTGTACATTCAACACTGGATATCTGTAACAAATAACTTCAGGTGAACATGCTGATCTCAACAGACAGGAGAGGGTGAAAATGGAACTGTACTTGTTCGTTGCCGACGCTCCTTCGGTTGGTGACATCTTTGCAGAATATTCGAAATATGATATGATTTCACTGCACAAGTACACAAAAGACGTTGTTGAAAATGCATCCATTTCACAAGTGATTTGAGCGCCACAAATGATTTCAGATTCAAGTGACGTCTTTTCTGAAAATTGTTCGTTCGTGAAGTAGCAAAGGAGTCTCTTATTTGCTATTGTGCGCGACGGGACGGAAGCAAGTCCCACAATACATCAAGATGCGACGACACTCTAGTTTGTGCTCTTGTTCTCTCCATCAGCCTCTCTACCTCCCGTTCTCACACTCTCTTGCTTTGCCTTCCAGTTCTTGAATTCCTCACTAACAATTTTGCCTGTGCCATCTCCCACTCTCCTCACCTCAACAATACCACTCTTTTTCCGCAGCCGAATACTGTACACGCCGTCGTCTCGCATCACGCCTTTCAGCCAGGCCAGAAACTCAGTTGCGAAGTTAATACACACGTTTCCATCCCAGCATCCCGTGCCTCTACGCACCATACCAGGTATCTCGTGGGTGTTGAAAGTCTGCAAGCTCCTCAGTATGCCATTTTTGCTTCGGAACCCAACGGTAATCCTGGAAACGCCGAGGAGAAACGACTGGGCCCAGAACTTGAGAAGTTTGCGTTCGAACTTGAGGACATCTCGGTGTTGCTGGAGGTGCGGGGGAGGTAGTTCCTCGCTTGTCTTGAGCTCAACCCATTGGATGGGCTGCTCCGGATCACTAGGCTTGGGGGCAAGAAGTCCATCGACTTCGCCGCCTAGAACAAGATTGTGGGGCCCAAATGACGTGTGTACGATGGAACAATGCTGGGCATGGTTGGACACGACACCCCGTTGATGTTTTTCAATTTCCTCGCGGGATGTCTCGGATGGCAGGGTGGGTATCAAGGTCAGCTTCTCAAACTTGTACCCCCAGTATGTCATCATTTCTCGCGACTGCTGGTTGGCATGCTGGTGCCGAGGCGGTGGCCGATCGGCTTCTGCTGCGCGTTCAGCAGCTCGTGAGGGAAAGTCTTCCTCGATGTAGATTGTCCCATCATGTAGCGTGGCAAACATTCCAAACTCAGCAAAGTTGTCAAAAGGCGCTGTCATGATCTGATATCTGTCAGAAGTGTCTTTAGGTCGTCTCTCCAGCGGTAGTAAGGTGGGATAACTGGGCCCGCTTACCTTGCCCGTTTTTATATCGGCCTGTATCAACATACCTTGGTCATCATGCCTCGCCAGGTCATGAAATCTGCCTTTGGTTGTCCTTTGCCGGTCTTGTCGTCCATAAGCGCCCTAAGCAAGCTATCCAAATGCGGGTCTTCCTTGTCTTCGTAATGTTTGAACGTGTCAAATCCTTCTTTGAGATCTACTCCCATGGGCGGGTGGACATAGTAGTTGATTCCTGACTCATCCGCCTGATAAACATGGTCGTCGTCGTAGGAGAAGTGGGCTATTTCACGGGGCCGCTTGATGGTTGCTGACGCGCCGCGGAAGCGATTGAGGGGCTGTATAGGAAATGTGTGAACTGGCATGTCTGTTTTCGGGGTATTCCTTTCAATAGCTGATGCTTGTGAGGGTTCTGCTTCGACAGAGGCCGATGCTGTTGCTGCTGCTGCTGCTGCTTGTGGAGGTGCGCGAGTTCTGGGTCGCTTCCGTGGCGGTGACCTGTCTGGTGAATCCTCGATAGGAGTAGGCGGTCTCTCCGGAAGGCTAGAAGATTTTTCAACGGGAGTTTGTTCAGCCATTGCGTTGTCGTGTCTGTACAGGCATGTTTGATGGCTGGCAGACTACGCCGCGGAAGTGCATTCCCCCACAAACCGCGGCTCTCGTACCTGACTAGCTACGGCGCACCATCCAAACCATGTTGTGCCATGCGCCGACGTCAACAACAACAACAACATCACATACATTACAACCTATAGCCCTCTTACAGTCGCCAACACCGCCTCTCCTATGTTGTGCAAAAGTGCGCAAAAATGGATAACCGTGCTATAAGACTCAACCCTAACACTCGGCGCAACCTCTTCGCCGCCCACACGACCCAGCAACAACCACCCACCTCACGACGCCAGAACCAAAACGCCCCTTCGGTCCGCCCAGACAGCCGCGAGATTCAACAAGACATTTTCACGCAACCCGTTGAAGATGAAATGGTCGAGAGGGATGCACAGGGAGACTACATCATCCATGCACCAACACCTGTGTACAAGAACATGGGCACGGCTAGCATTGGGCCAGAGGGAGATGAAGAGGGCGGTAGGTCTTGACAGCATCTGGGCATAGACGAGGAAACTGAATTTTTTATAGAAAATGAGAATGAGTTGATTGAAATGTACGGCAAGCCGAATGTGCACTGGGCTGCAGCAGGGATTGAAGATGAGATCAGGATTGCGCTGAAGAGTAGCTTAAGGAAAAAGGTGGCGAGCTTGGAGGACGACAGGTGGATGTTCCAAGCAGAGAGCGAGAGCAAGAAATGAAGTTTGTTTGGGCAACATGTACATGGCGCTGCGAGGAGTTTGGCATTATGATACCCTTGGCACGGTGTTTTGGATCATGGACGACATTGATATTAGCCGGATCAGTTGTGAGCTTTTGGAAGTGCTGGATCAAGACAGAAGTAATACATTTTTCAGGCTTGCTCTATGCTTGAAGGGTTGCTTACTCGTTCATGCTCAAGTCCTCCTACTTGCAAGCGTTCGCCTCGAGGGCTCTCTGCACACAAGGACCCCCATATTGAGTTCACGATATGCCTCCTGATCCTTCTCACAAGAGTCTGACCATCCTCCAAGATCCTTTAGGCCCGCAAGGCGTCTCGTCAATTCATCTCCCCTCGAGTCTCCCACCCCTCACCTTCCACAGACTGGGACTCTGTGCACGCTCCTGCCGTCCTTGCCACTCATGCCTCACCGGGCGGGCGGTCAGACACGATACAAGGCGCTAGAAGGTGGCAAGTGGGGCGCCACGATAGGTGAACATGTGGTTGAGGCATGTAACTCCAGACTCGGCACGCGTCTTACAACTGTGGCGCAAACCCATTTCCTTCAAAACCAGGCCCGCATGCCCGATTGATATCGCAGATCCCTATAACTGCTTTCTTACGATATGGTCCATGCTATGGCCAGACAGCCGCTGGGCTGTGGCGGTGCAGTGTCTCACTGTGTCAACCCTGCCAAGACGCTCGCCTTTACCTTGAATCACTTCACGGCTGGCCTCTCAGACGTCCGACTCACATTCTCCCATCGACGGTGAACGTCTTCAGTGAAAAGAAAACTGCTACTTCCTGCCTACTGCGTCACCTGACTGCTGGAGCTTCGGCGCCTGCTCCTAGGATATAAACGCTCCCTCCCTCTCTCGCTCCTTCCTCCTTTGCCTCTTCTACTCCACTGTCAATTTTCTGCCTCTCGCTTGAGCTTTGTTAACTGCAAAGTCTTGCCTTTACCACATCTCTTCAATTTGTACAATATTTTGTACATTTTCTTCCACTTCCACCATCATGTCTCATAACTCTCCTCAATCTTCAACGGCCCATGGCCCTTCGTCGAGCCCTTATGCCGGCACCGATCCCACTCTCTATTCACCTGACATGGACCGCAAGACCCACCTCGGCCATCGTCGTCAGATTACCGCCATTGCTGCTGGTAAATTGCCGGTCAAAGATGCCAAGGACAAGCCCACCATAATAAAGGCTGACCTCCCTCTTCCCGCCATCTCGGCTGACGGTGCCTTCACAAACGAGCTGTCCGAAGACGACAATGGATATGTTTCCCGATACCAATTCATCTCTCGGCTTCCTGATGGTACTCATGCTGGACTCGACTCGGAGCACGAACTTTTCAGCGTTCAGCACCAGATGAAGCTTGTGACTAGCTCTCCTCCCCGTTGCCATACTTGAGCCTAATTAACATCCGCTTTAGTACGCTTGTTTCCTCAATGCTGTCCCCTACTACTCACGCGGTGTCTTCATCCGCTACGATGATCTTCGCGACGCTGCCGAGGGCAAGGACATCCTTGAGCAGCATGAGTTCACTGTCGACTATGTCACACCTTATGACTTCGCCAAAGCCAAGGCACAGGACACCGCCAGCCTCAAGGAGTTTGAGGGCCAGATCAAGCTCGGCATCGTCATCGATCCCAATCCGGACCAAGCTGTTTGGGAGTTCTCGTCCGAGGACCTGACTGAAGTCTCCAACTTCCTCAAGATTACCGCCCAGGCTTTTGGCGAAGTTCGCAACATCACTCATGTCGACTCTCTCCAAGACAAGATGGTGATTGTGTATCGCATCGAGTTCTTCTCCATTGATGCTGCTGTTCGAGCTGTCCAGTCGCTACGCATGGATCCGGTCTGGGGAATCAACCGCCACGTGAGTTTCCTCTCTCTTCCAACTTCGGCGCGCCCTGCTAATGTCTTACAGAAGTCATTCCAGTGGTGCACTTCCGATCCTGCTCTCTGGTCGGATGAGCATGTCGCGACCTCACCGAATCGCCCCAAGCCTCGCCTCGATGCCCATGGTCGCATCTACGGTTACCGCTTCGCCCCCAACCACCAGATTCCCGATCAGTATTCCGACCGTCGTTCCAGCTACCACAACCATCCTCACGATCAACACAACCGCGTTCGCCGTGAGCGCATTCTTGATGGCAGCGACGTTCGCACTACCGTCATGCTTCGCAACATCCCCAACAAGCTCGATTGGGTACGTGGCTTGTTGCATAACCAATTGAACCGAAACTGACTACTTCAACAGATGACCCTCAAGAACATCCTCGATGACGTCTGCTTTGGCACTTACGACTTCATGTACCTTCGTATTGACTTCAAGTCTGGCTGCAATGTTGGCTACGCCTTCATCAACTTCACGGATGCCAACGGCATGCTCTCGCTCATCGACCGCATCGAGCGTCGGCTCTGGCCCGGCTTCAACTCTGACAAGACTGCTGAAGTTTCCTACGCCACCATCCAAGGCCGCGAAGCACTGGTCCAGAAGTTCCGCAATTCTTCTGTCATGCAAGAGACTCCTTACTGTCGCCCTCGTCTGATCTTCACCCTCGCCGACGCTGAGATGATGGGCCAGCTGCGCACTGCTGGCACCGAGCAGGCTTTCCCCCGTCCTGACAACCTTTCCAAGCTTCAGCGTTCTATGGATAGCGCTCGTAGCATTGGCCTCTACCCTCCCAATGGATACTCCACACTCACTGAGCACCGCAACCGCTCCAGCGCCTACGACCGTGGAGGTCCTCGCGACATGATGCAGGCTGCTATGCACTTTGCTCATCAGCGAGTCGCTCCTGTTCAGTTTGCCGGCCTGAGCGAGGCCAAGAAGCAGGACATCGAGACTTGGTACCTGTGCACTTATGGAGGCGGCCACTGTGGTCGCATCCCCTTTGACTGCATCCCGATGACCCATGTCACCCAGTACTTCAACGAGAACCCTGCTCCTACGCCAGTTCCAGGTATCATCGGTGCCCCGGCTAGCAGCCCTTTCTCCAACAGCGTCGCTTCCGGCATTCCTGACGGCACCCCGACTCGCCCTTCCGGTATGGCTCGTGGTCCGATCCGCCCCTTCTCAGCTCGTGGCTATGCGGATGCCAACACCAACCCTTTCTTGTAAGCATCGACATGACCGGTGCTTGTTTTCGCGTCTATGGACAATGTTGCAACATCTATCGCATTTCGCATGAGTGCAGCAAGCGCCCGATTCGTTTGTTTGTTCCAATCTGTTTAAAGATGTTTGTCGAACAGGGCTTGATAATAGCTTCCTGGGAGTGGTACTGGACACACTGCCGAGTTTATGTCTTCCAGAATGATGTCGTACGATCTGGATTAATGATGTGGATGATTGTGGATTGATGTGGTCTCTGACCTGATGATGAATGATGTCACTGGGGCTGGTGAAAGCACAGTGCTATAGTAGAGATAGCTTAATGTCTTAGGTAATATGAGCGGTTACTGCCATGACTGTGTCTTGTTGGTGAAGTGTTGCGATTTGCTAGTTGGTCTGGTGACATGTCAATTTGCTGATTTCTTTGCATCTACAGTACAAGGTCGTCTGGCTCTCGGGGTAAGAGCAATGTGTATACTCATTCTAAGAGAGTAAATAAGAGACCTGCTTGTTCATAGCTCCCCCGCACTCTCCCCGTTCATTCAGAATCATTACATGCTACTATCTAATCATGGCTTAACCTTGATAAATTCCCACACCACCCCTTCGGACAACTTATCCCCATTCCTCCCCAACTTCCTCAGCCCAGCCTCCGGATCAACCACCACCGGCCGCAGCGTCCACCAATCCAGCATCTGCATGACATAACCGCCTTTTGGCACGGGCGTCACAGTGAATTGGCGCCACCCACTCCCCAGCTCCGCCGTACACTTGAGCCTCCCATTGCCATCATGACACAGAAACCTGTTCGAGCTACAGTTCCGCCACCCAAGCCAGCCCTGCGTCTCGACGCACTCCCAGTAGATGGACCCGTGGGTTGTGTCGCGCGCGGCGAGCACAACAGACCCGTTGACCAGCGTCAGCACGCTGTCGTCGTCACATGATGTGGCGCGCAGAATGTAGGTGCAGCCGTGACGCGGGATTTGGGCTGGGACTGCTTCTTCTCTTTCTGGGTAGTAGTAGTCGGAAAGAGTGCCAGGGAGGGTGTGTTCCGATGCTGTGGTCGTCGGGGTGTACATGGTGTGGCTGTCTGTTGTGTCAGACATGTATGATGGCGAGTCTGGGCGGTGGTTGTTGGGTTCATGCGGTGATGTCATACGTAACTTTTTATTTTGTGTTTTTGTCGGATGCTGAAATGGGTTTGGGGTCTATGCGTATGTAGGTATGGTGTGTAAGTACTGTATGGAGTTTATTTTCTATTCTCCCCTGTGTTTGTGAACGGCGGTATCTCGCCGACGGTGTATGTTTTCTTGACTACGGATTAGGTTTGCGAGTAGTAGGCAGCAGCAACACAGTCCCCGGCTTAGTTGTTTGTTTCGTTTGCGGCCCGTCTCGGCGTCGGTGCTGGCGCTATGGATGTATGTCTGCGGGGTAAGGTGCGTTTGTTCGTGTTAGAGCGTGGGCTCGGTCGCTTTGCGTTTCTTGGGTTTGGGCGCCATGATTGCTGGGGGGTTTGCGATCAACACTTGCTTGGCGAGAGTGCTGCAAGTGAGCACCGATAAACGTCGCGACGTAAGTACATGCAACTGCACGGCCGAGCTTGGATGCGGTGTTATGCTGCGTCAGGGTACAAACTCTATGTATGCCTCTGCGTATGGACGTCTGTTGAATTCCTAAATTGGATGCCCGCATGCTCTATTCAGAAAGTGGGCTTTTAGGTTTTTGGACCCTGACTGAGTGACCGAAACAGATAAGTATGCGTTATGCAGCAGCGATGATCAGAACGCGTGAGATCTCGCCATCTTATTATCTTTCTTGGTAGCCAGCACAGACTACTTCCCCAAACGCAAAAGGAGGCGAAGATCAAGATTCGATTCCCGTCAGTCATAGGGCGCCGCGATCGTGACCGTGTTATTGTCCAGGAGATCTGTCAACGGGTGCTTGCTTCCTGAAAAAATAGCAATCTCGAACGTGGGGACTTGCAACAAGTGAGATAATAGGGGGGGGGGGGGCGCTACTAGGGCCACTGTTGTCCCCTGATCTTCACCAAAGCAAACCTCACTAAGCGACAAGGAAACCCCTGATGCAACTTACACAGAGACTTGGGATTCGGAAAGTTTGGATGACATTACTCTACGTTCTCGTTTCTGCAGGTGAGAAACGGAGGATTGCGATGTTTCCTCGGTGTCGGATTGTCTGTGCAACAATCAACCGCTACACAATCCTGCAAGTAGCTTCTCACATGGACGCTCGAATCCCTGGAACTGTCACACAAGAATACGATGTCGATAGCTATGCCACTTGGCCCAAGTCTATTTGTGGCTATCGAGAATGAGGAATGGGACATGTACAAGGAGGACGTGGGTAGCACCCATGCTCACGTGGCCCGGCCCTTGTTCACCGCCCAGCGGCCAAATTGCCAATTTACGAAGTATACAGAGACCCTGATCCAAAGTAACTCGAGCACGATTTTATTTTCCATCTATGCCCCAAGGCTGCGCTTCTATGCAGCTTCATATATTTGGAGACGTACATGTGCAACCTCTGTATTGAGCCTAGAGCGGGGGGGTTCCCCATAGTACGTCATTGGACACCGCAAGCAGTACTAGTAGTATAGGAAACCAAACGCGCGCAGTTGCCCAGTCCCAGTCCCCACGGGCGCGCTCAAAACGAGGAAGGGTAACCAAGCAGCATAGGCCGCCCCCTTCACCAGCGCGTCGTTTTCGCAGAAAGCAAATTACCGCCTTTCGGTTATTTTAAAATTCCACCATTGACTCTCTCTGCAATGGAAGCAGGTAAAAGGCCTGCTATATCGATGCAGAGTTTTTCCTTTATTTTTTTTCCAACCATAGTACAAAAAGTCATTTGCATGGTCTCAACTGAGGCTGCTAGGTAGCCACCATCACCAGCAACCACCGGATACAGAATCAGCTGCAGAGACGGAGTCACCTTGATCATCCGCTGTTTTTGCCCTTTTGCGCAAATTTCCCGCGTTGCTCAATCTGCGGGTACTACTACGACCTTTTGGCCAACGTCGCCTCGGCGAGATACATCTGGGACATTACATACCACGCACCACCAAAACCCACCTGGGCCTGCGATTCAAAAAGCCAACTTATCCCTCACCACACCTCGAAGCAAAAAAAAAACCCCCACCTCCCTCCCAGGCAAACCAGCAGATCTCGGGAGACCAACCAACCCGCCAAAGAAGAAAAAAATGGCCATCGCAAAACCCTCCACAACCCTTCCCCACCGCCAACAATCCAACCACCTCACAGTCCCCACTACCACCTCCTCTTCCTCAGTGCCCAGCATATCCGCCTCCCCCCTCTTCAGCGCAAGCACACACGACATAGCCATGCTACACGACATCCACAGTCTCCTCAACAAACTCTTCATCCGCAACCGGAACCAGCACCGCCGCAGCACCTGGTGGAAAGCCCTCCACGGCTTCCGGAAGCAGATGGCGCTGCTGCTGGGCGAGCTTGAAGCCAAGGAGCTCCGCGAGTACGAGAGACGGCAGAGAGTAGAGGCCAGACTGAGGTTTTGGGATGAGAGGGGGGAGGTGCATGCGTGGTATTAGTATGTTTTTTTTCCCTCAATTTCGCCATGTTTGCTTGCGTTGCCACAATCGCTTGCTATTAAGATTGTAAGGGTACTGATGCTAACGTTTTGTGTAATAGTCAGTTCAGTCAGCTTGTAGCTGTGGGTCCTTTCTCCATGCTCGGCCTCGTCATGATGGCGTCTGTCGCACGCGTATGCCGCATCACGGGTATCACGTCCGTTTACGAGCAGATTGCCTCTGCAGAGGTCAAGGGCGTGCTGGATGCGAGTGATGGGTTGGGCATGGCAGGTCAATTTGAGAGTGTGCTGGGTGGCGGGGACGAGTGCGATGAGGGTGTTGTTATTGCGAGAGAGGATGAAGACTAGATTCGACGCGGGAAGTTTGTTCGTCTTGATGCGGCGGTGGGCAATATGAAGTGATACCAAGTAGCCCTGGCCTAGCTACATACTCTCGATTAAGCGTTTGTAATTATTGGATTTTAGATACTATGCAACAACGTGGACACGACTAGCGATAACTCATCACCGCCTATCTAATACCAAACCTCGATCCCAGAGTGCCGAATCGATCCTTGCCCTCCACCTTTGGACTCTGCGCTGCAACTTGCGCACCCTCTTGCACCTTCTCGAGCAGGATAGCGCCCTTCATCTGGTCCACCTTGCTGTACTTTTTATTCCTCTGCGCAATGTCGAAGAACTCTTCGGAATTGTCCGTGCCCATGAGTGCCACCGTTTGCGTCAGTTCGTCCAAGTTTTCCATGAGAATCGGATTGTTCAGCGAACTGACGAATTGCGATAGGAAAGCTGTGTCGGCGGCGAGGGTAGCGACTGCGGCAGGAGAAATGCGCTTGATGTGTTGCGCAAGAGGCAGATCGAGGATGGCGGTTGACGCGTGCGATAGCGCGTCAAAGTAGATGAACTCTTTGATGTCCATGGGAAGGGCGAGAAGAACCGATGACATGATGTTGGAGAGATACCTAGTCAACTCTAGCATGTATGTCGAAGGCTCCGTCTGTGGTTTCGTGGCCATCCAGTCGTATTCCGCTGTCTCAATCAAGTCGTCAATCTTGCTGTTGACGAGCTCAAAGACGCGGTTCGATGCCGTGTTCTTGGCTTTCGCGAAGCGCTCTGTGGCAGTGAGGACGATAGGACCTGTTGCAGAAGGCGAGGAGCGGGCTTCAAACAGCAGATCCTGAAGCTCTACACATGCGTTTTCAAAGTGCTCCAGGTTGGTGAGAATTTGTACAATCTGGCCAGGATACTGGCTGCTTAGGCGTTCGACAAGACTTCCGCACACTTTCTCGCAGAGCAGCTCGTCAAGGCTGGTACGGAGGGTCTCATCAATGACACTGCTCTTTTGGAAATAGTCGTCACTGAAGAGGTAGATCTGATTCAGGAAGTTCCTAATGTCAATGCAGCATAGAGGGTACATTTGTGAAAATGGCAATACACATGGGAATGTGAGTTGTTCGCTGTTGGCCGGGGGGCTGTACCAAGACACGGAGACGACCTTATCGTACTCTTCGCGCGAATTGATAGGCATGGGCATGTAATCGTCGGTGTGTACGATCTCTAAGAAATCGTCGCTGAACCGTTGCTTGAGGAGAGCAGAGTACTTGGAGAAGAGGGTGAGAAGTAGGTCGTTCATTGCAGAAACTGAATATCCCCATTTCTTAAGGTCAAGTTAGTTTGGCTCGAACACGGTAGTTAAGAATACGAACCTCCATTGTGAGCATGAAAAGTGCAATGCGGCCTTTGATCTTGAGTAGCAGCTCATCGTTGTCGACCGTGTGAAGCTCTCCTGTGATGAGTTTGATTGCACTTTGACACATTGAATCCCACAACTCGTCAACCTATTCCGCATTAGCCGCAACCAGAAAGAACAAGTTTGAAAAATCCACTTACGTCGGCTTGTGATCGAAGATTGGTTGTTATTGTCATGGTTGCTTTCTCAATAATGGCGTACCCCGCAATACTCTCGAGCAGACTACTCAGGTCGCTGCATTCTTCATCAAGCAGGTCAAGCTTATTGGGTATGATCAGGTCTTTCTGCGTTCGTCGATCCGAAGCATACTCGGCTCTGAACTGTTCGCTCTTACCCAGCGTCTCGTTAATATGCATGGCTTCAAACAACCGTGAGAAGTCGGTCTCATTGCCTGCCTCTTCGTTGTTCAAAACATCAAATTCATCCGTCTCGTCAGCGACAAGTTCAATGGCCGAGTTCAGCTTGAACTTTGAGAAGCGCGGATCCGTCTCAGCACGCCATTGGTTGCGCTTCCTTCGCTGCTCAGTATAGAAAAACGATACCTCGCCCAGGAACTGTGCAGACTCGCGGATGCGGTACAGCCATGTACTCAGATCGCTCTTGACTGCTTCTCTGATTTGCTCCTGGGTTTGGGGAATCGACTTCTCAATCAAATTCGCAATCTTAAATCGACTGATTTCCTTCAGATGAATTGTCTGAAGCTCGTCTAGTGCCCTTAGAGCCGCATAGTAGTTCTTCTCTTTCAACAGATCCTGGACCTGATTGGCAATTCGGAGA